AAAAAAAAAAAAGTTAATAATGTATAGTCCTAAAGTATGCAGGAAGAGAAATAGAATATAAGCGATTCTATGGCACGTTTAAAGAGTTAAACTCAGAGCAAGAACCATTACATATATATTAGTAGTATAAGTATACACCCCAGCCCTTTGAAAGGACAAAGAGCAACTTAAAAAGTAATGAGACTGGCCTTATATACGGACCTGTTGGAATCTAAACTTATACTGTAGTCACACCCCAGTATGGCCAACTAGTATCAATTTGAAAGAAAAAAAATAATACCCAAAAAGATGGTAAGAAATGTCACATAATAAAAAATAACGTATTTGAATTTCATGATAAAAGACGCTAACATAAATACAAAGCAGTAGTAATAAGACAGCCTGGAAGAAATAGAGAAGATATTTCCTCTTTTATTTCTAAAATGAAAAGTTCCTTATACATATGTAACAAACCTCGCACGTTATGCCACATGTACCCTACAACTTAATAGTATAATAATATAAATAAATTAAAAAAAAAAAAAAAAGAAAAAGTTCCTAAGTATAACTACGTAAAGTTTAGATGGTAAAAACGCAATGAGGAAATCTGAAACAATCCAAATGAAAGGATCCCTACTTTTATTCCAGAAGGACCCAATCTCTTCTGACTTTTTACTTCCTAGGGTAAAGAAAATAAATTATTTTTGAAATAAAAACCTAGTGATTCAAAAATTGCCTGATTTAGTCACAGTATTTTAAACGAACCTGGGCAATTCTTCCTCTCAATACCACTTCCAGTCAAATCACCCAGTTTTAAATGCAGTTTATCCAGTCTGGGTTTGGCTTTTTAGACAATCACAGAAAATCTTTCCTAAATAACTTCATAAAAAGATAGATATCTTTTGTGAAACTAATTTAAGGGCCAAAGAAGCAGGTGAAGAGTGACAGTGAGAACAAACCAATATCCACAGTAGTTAGGAAAAGTAGAAGTGAGGTACAGAAAAGTGAGCATAATGAGGAGTTATGTAATTTGAGGCAGTGAAAGGTTATAGTGATATTAAAACTTACTGTACAATGGCTTTAAGTGAATATTATTTTAGAAATATATCCATTTTCACATTATTAACTGTGTCAAAATTCAATTTCAGGTTTCAGTTAATATTTATTGCATTTTAAAAATTGTTACAAAAAACTTATTACAGTAGAATACTATCAGTAACAGAGTTAATCTTTCTGTCAAACCCCAGTGGTGCACTTGTCAATAGGAAAATAAGAATGAGTCAGACTACAGGGGAACTTTTAGATACCAAGACTCTAGAGGGGATTAACAATTCATAAGATATGATATTGAGAGAATGATAACTGTGTATGAGACAGTTCCTGCGGATATTAGTTTACAACTTATATATGAAGGTTTTTGTTGTATTTTCTTTGTGGATAGCACACTTTAAGAAGGAATTCTAGTCTCCACTTTTTTTTCCTACATTGAAGTGGCTATAGGTATCTTTCACTTAATAAAAAATGTTATGTTCCAGGAAAACTTGCTCTTAAAAAAGAATCGATGGGAAAAAGTCATTTATCTCACAAACTTCCATCATACAATTGAGAGATGTGTGCTCAGCTGGGAAAATTTTTAGTCCAATGATATAATAAAGATCATACTTTAGAATATAATTCTTTTAAAACCTCATACTTAAGGAAAATTATAACTTCTAGATGCATCAGTGGTACTTAATGTAATACTGTGCTACCCCCAGACTCAGTCATTAGGTAAAAATATTGAGAATGAGCCTATTTTACTTAACAGAAACTGACAGTTCTTTACCCTATTTTACATGCTGCCACCACTGAGCCCTAGCAATTTAACTAAAGTATGTACCTGCCTTAAATCACCACAGTACTTACAATTTGACATACAAGGTAATTTTAATTTCTTGGCAGTTTCCCTCCTCTTTCCAAAGATCATCCCTTTGATACTGTCATAAGACCAGAAATGTACAATACTAACTTAGCAAAAATGATTTACTCCAATGCCTTCTGAATACATTTTGTTACCTGTTAACTGGTTAATTTCCAACAATAATCATAGCTGTTTGCTGACTGTGTCCAGATAGGCCATTCTGTTCTCTAATAACTTGTTTATTTAATAGCTGATATTCTAAGTAGAGGATATTCAAAATAACAATTATATTTGTTGAGCCTAGAAACTATTTGTTACTGTGAATTAAAGTTAACTTTAATCAGAGAAGACTATTGCTGGCAGCAAAAGATACCAAATAAAAGGTACAGAAGGTGTATAAATCCTCAAAAATTTCAAGTTTGAGTATATTGCTCCTGAGAGTAAATCTGTGAATTCTTTATATTTGGAATTCTAATATGTGAATTTATGTTAGGAGACATACCTCTCTATGGATGGAATAACTCCATATCTTGTTATTTTTCTATGTGTAAATGCCAACTTACAATGGCTGACTAAAACCTAGGAGACAATTAGTCATCTGACTAATTTTCAATATAGCAGAAGGATATTAGAAATGTACCAAAATAAGCTTTGCAGAGGTTTGTAATTGCAGTTTAAACATTGATGTTAGTTGTCAATTATTAATACATACATTATTAATAACATGATATTAGAACTTTGACAGACATCAATTTGTGGGATTCTGATGTACCCCTCCCTTTGTTTTCAGAAAATGAAAGCAATAGCAGTACTAAATATAGTACTAAAAACTAAGTTACCATATACTAATGGATCAAAATGAATGTTGCATATAAAATTTCCCTAATTTAATTATCAAGAAATAGTCTTTGGAGCATATTAATAATTTAAGGCTGTACTAATCAGACCAGTGTTGTATGAAACACTTAGAATATAACCGTCTCTTAGTGGACAGTAAAAAAATATACAGGTTACAAAAACATGTGAACTTAACACTCTACCTACATCTGCTTAGAAAACATTCTCAATTGCCTCAGGTAATAGGATGATTATTTTAAAGCCTGATTTCTATAGCATGTATATCTGTGAAATTATATTTAATTTGTTAATTTAGTATATAGTTTATCATAGAAAATTATGCCCACTACAAAGAAGTTAATTGCCACTGACAGTCCTCTTCTCCTTCAGGTTTATCTAGGAGAAAATATGCACAAGGATTAGAAAATCAAGTGCCTTAGCTCATGCTATGCTGAACTCTTCCCCTTTCTAAGAAAGCGTATACTTCTATTAAGAGCCAAATCAAGTATGACTTTCTCTACAAAGCTTTCTCAGACAAATCCAGCCTACAGTAATCTCCCTTTACTCGTAACTCTTTTAGTCCTTATTCAACATGACTCTATGTTCCAATTGTTGACCATGATGTCTCATATATGTATTTTCCTTTTTCTAATGGGTAAGCAATTTACTCAACTGGTAAACTGCTATTTCTCTTCTATTCTCCACAATACCTGGTATAGTAGTAGGCATTCATTAGAAGCTAGAAAATAAAAACTTGTTAAAAGTCACTTTAAAAAAAAAAAAAAACTTCATTCCAGAGTTCACTGATCAAGTGCTTTGATAGCATTTGCAAAATAAGCCATCAATTTTATTTTATAATGTGTTTATGACACCCTAGGTAAATGCTCTTAGAGTATGTGGCACCTTCATAGCCATACTCATTTCAATGGAATACTAGATTGGATTCAAATTACTGCCAGGTTCTTTAAGTATGTGAAGGTGAAGAGCAAGTATTCATATGATACACTATTATTCCAAATAATTCAGACTTAAATTCATCAAAAGCTTTTCCAAAACAAAACAAAAAAAAATTGTCTTTGGACTCTAGCAACTAGAAGCATGTCAGCTTGCTAACGCACAAAACAAACAATACTCTCCGAGGTCCAAGATTATTTTGCAGTGGTACTAGAATTATATTGTGCTTTAATTCAAACTATACCCCCAAAGAACCTCAAACAACATGAAAGCTCCCAAAGCAAAGCATTTTACCCCAAACTAACAAAGTTTGCAGTCTTGACAGATTCATCCAATACATTTAATCATAAATGGCATCTATATATCCTTTTAAAAAATCTTTAGCTCAAAAGCATTTACAAAGAAAGGAAAATTTAGCTTTTCCATTATTACGCTTCTTTCTCGCCACGTCTTATCAGATAAAAGAAACCTGAAATGGCTTAAAAACCAATAGGGAGGGAAAAGAACCCATCTTTTATTGTCTGCTCACAGAATTATCTTCAACTGCAGGCTACCTCAGGAAGAACAGATATATCACAACCCATCCTCGCTTTTATTTGAGATATTTTAGGTTTCATCATCATATTTATAATAAAAAAGAAGTATGCCATTCTCGATGAAAAGTAGTTTGTAAAACCAGTTTCCCTTATTATCAATCAGCCATTCTGCCTACTTCTCAAGTTTGATGGCATTTTAGAAGTCTAGTGGAGTGCGTGTTTGTTTTATTGTTTTTATTATTTAATATAAGTACTATCTTCCTAACGTACATGTCAGGAGTCAGAAGCCAGGCACAAGGCTTTCGGGAGCTCTCAGCACACGAGTAGCAACAACACTGAAAAGTAAGGGGCCACTCCAGCTATCTGTTCAAGCCTTGAGGCATGGAGTGGCAGCAGCCCGGGGAATGGGCTCCTGAGAAGCCCGCGGTCAGGCTGAGCCTCCTGAGAGCGAGAGCCAAAGCAAGGGGAAAGGGGCGAGCACAGCACTGGGAGAGTCTGTCCGCGAATCAGGAACCAGGCTGCGTGACTGTACGTAGAATTATCAGCATCTATGGCATCTAAGAAGCAAAGCCAGGCCTTAAGCACCCACCCCGCATTCCTGGACGCCAGGGTTGAGACCAAAAAGTGGTGGCTATGAGAAGGAAAACTACCTCGAAGGGAATAGAGAGCCGCGAGCAGCTGTGGGAGAGGCGTCAGAAGCTTCTGCAGGCGAAAGCAGCGATTCGCTCGCCTCCCGGGGCCCCGGAGGCCGGAAAGGCGCCCTAGAACCCAGCGAGTGCGGTGCCACTACTCACCCCTACTCTCCTATGGTCCCGGTCGTCGCCCTGCTCGACGCAGCCCCTGCAGGGGGGAGCCCCTCCCCCGCCCGCCGCCGGGGGTGGGCTCGGCGGGCGAGAGAAGGCGGCGGCGCAGGTGTCCAAGAGCCGGGGCCAGAGAGAAGCTGGGTGCAAGGGAGACAGCTTGGTGCCTTGCGCTCCGTGGCGCCGCCAACTTCACCACCATCGACGTGGAGGGACAAAGGGAGGCGATGGGGGGCAGGCGCTCGCCCAGCGGCCCGGACCCTCCTGGGGTACTAGGCCTGAGCCTCTGGAGTGACCGCCGTTCCCAGTCCCCTCAGCAACGCGACCCCCAGGCCTGATTCCCGTCCCTGGGCCCCCCTGGCCACAGAGCAGCGGCGGCTCCCTCTTGGGGCCGCGGTCGCATCTGCATCCTCCTGCTCCTCCTCCTCTGGCGCCGCTGCCTACACACACAGCCCCGGCGCGGTTACCGCCGCGGCGCCAGACCGCCGTTGCCTAGCAACTGTGCGCATGCGCCCCACCCCTGTCGGCGACTGCTGCCACCGCTGGCGCCGCTGTCGGAGCTCAGACCAGCAGGCCTGCGACCTAGAAAGTGCTCAAAACCCCACTTCCTAAGGCCTAGAAGGAGCGACGTGAAGGTAAGGGTGGGTGAGGAGAGGTCCAGGATGCTCTGCAATTCGAGAGGCCCGAGGACTTGGGATACGACAGTCTCTCAGCCCCTCGACAGGCACCTCTGCGGTTAATTAAGAGTGACAGTACCAACAACCTCACTACTTGTCTCGCTGCTTTTTATTTGTCTTTTATTTGCCTTTTATTTTATTTGCCTACTTATTTGTCTTGGCTCCTCCAATTCATCCTTCACAAGGGCTGCCAGGGTAATTTTCTAAATAACTTCTCTGATATGTCACTGCTCTGCATAACTCAGGTGGTTAAGGGTCACCTCCCTTAATAGGGCCTAACAGTTATTTACTACTGCAACAGCATACTCTGGTTTCTTTGCCTTTAGATTTGTCTTTCTGCAATTTGTTCTCATACTTGTACCAGTGATCAAATGAAAAGCTAACCTCACTTCCTTCTGGCTTAGAGAATGGGCTTTGAAATTACAGCCAAATTTGAATTTCTGCTCCACCACCAAGTAGCTCTGTTTCCTTGAGCTAGGATTTTATTTATTTATTTATTTTTTATTTTATTTTATTTTTATTTTTATTTTTTTTATTTATTTATTTATTTTTTTTTTTTTTGAGACAGAGTCTCACCCTGTCGCCCAGGCTGGTGTGCAGTGACGCCATCTCGGCTAACTGCAACCTCCTCCTCCCGGGTTCAAGTGATTCTCCTGCCTCAGCCTCCCGAGTAGCTGGGACTACGGGTGCAAGCCACCACACCTGGCTAATTTTTGTATTTTTAGTAGACACAGGGTTTCACCATGTTGGCCAGGCTGGTCTCAAACTCCTGACCTCAAGTGATCCGCCCGCCTCCACCTCCCAAAGAGCTGGGATTACAGGCCCTCCACTAATGTTTCACTGGCACTTATCGTAGGACTTCTTAGAGTTTTTACACATGGCGTAGCTATTTTTACACTTTCTAAAATGTTTAAATATTTTACCAAATAAACATCCAGCAGGGCACATTTTGTAAATATGTTTACACATTGTATTAAGTTTAATACAGAAACTCTAAACCTAATCTCAAAAACATCAAGTAAATAAGTCCCTAGAATATCACACAAGTTTGTACATAGCCATTGCCTACATGTCAATTCTCAGTGTCAATATTTTAAAATTAAAAAGTGTAGTTTTGGAAGAATCACTGGATATTTACATGTTCATTAACTGGAGGGTTTATGCAGATTTCTTACCCAGGTGAACCTTTGGGAAAGATGTCTAATCACTTTATACATCTAGATGTGTCTCAGAAAAGGTAAAAACTGATCTGTAGCTGGGTGCCTAAGGAGGCGTGGAAGGAGCTAGGGCTAGAAAAATAGAGGCAAGATCTTAGAGGACTTTGAATGTTAAGCTAGGAAATCTGTGCTTTCTCCTTTATTATAGATAATGAATCTATTGAAAAATAACTCCAATTTTTGCTAAGTGCTTACTCTGAGCCACAGTAAGTTATGTATGTTAAGGGCTTTACATGCACTTTTCCATTTAATCCTCATAACTACTCTATAGGTATTATAATTATCCCCATTTTACTGATAAGGAAACAGATTCAGACAGGTTAAGAATCTCAGCTCAGGCTGGGCACGGTGGCTCACGCCTGTAATCCCAACACTTTGGGAGGCCGAGGTGGGCAGATCACCTGAGGTCAGGAGTTCAAGACTAGCCTGGCCAACATGGCGAAACCCCTCCTCTACTAAAAATAAAAAAATTAGCCAGGTGTGGTGGCACTTGCCTGTAATCCCAGCTACTTGGGTAGCGGAGACAGTAGAATCACTTGAACCTGGGAGGTGGAGGTTGCAGTAAGCCGAGATGGCACCATTGCACTCCATCCTGGGTGACACAATGAGACTCCGTCCCAAAAAGAAAGAGAGAGAGAGAGAGAGAGAAAAGAAACACTAGAGGAGAGCTCAAATGGACTGTCACACTAAAATGAAACTTTATACAGATCAGCCAAAAAGTACTGAAGAAAGAGAACAATTGGAAAGGGGAAAAGAGTGAATCACTCTAGAACTAATTAAATAGAAGTATCAGATTGGAGATCATCAACAAGCTGTAACCAATGTGGAGGACCATAACATAGGGAATATATATTACAAGTATAAATGTAGCAATGAGCTTGGATAGAGTTCTCACACAGCTCATACCTTTCCTTCCATATGGAACAGACATGCCTTTCAGGTTCAAAGGAAAACAATTCCGTAGTGTTCAGCCTTTTCTAATGAACATCAGTAACTCACGGGGAAAGACTTTTTACAAAATTTGCTTATATCTTCTAAAGCCTGTATTTTGCCACATAAAACCTACATTCTCTGTTCACTTATTGAACTAATCACATTCTATCACACATTTTTTAACAGTGAATAGAGGAATACATATATAAAATCCTGCTGATCATCTTTAATTCTTCTGTGTTCCTTTCTAGATAGAGAACTGTGTCACTGCTGTACTTAAACTCCTTCAGTATCTTTCCTGGGGTTTCAAGATAAAATCTCTCCTTTGCCCACATCAGTGCATCTGCCTTACTACGATAGAAAGGTAAAAACTCCTACAACAAACAGAACTCTCTATGTCAACATGGAAAAAAAAAAGAAAGCTGATTTATTATTGAGTAAGCACAACAGAGTACACGCATATAAGTAGCCTTCAAGAGACTGCAAATTCAAAATGAAATTCTACACAACTTATATATTACAACAGATACCAAGTCCACTTGAGAATTGAGGCAGCTATTTGTTTAGTTAATTGAATTCTTCCAATAGAATAATAAAACTTTTCTTACCTCCCCAAAGATACCTCTCATCTTCCTGAAAGACAAATGGTTACACCTTGAGATGTGCTCCTACATTAACTTTGAAGACATGTCTTTACATTTCAAAGAGAAATGTGACCTTGACCTTGGACATATGTGTGCGTAGTCTCTCTGTGGTCTCTGGAGAGATTTATCTACATTCCAAAAGTTAGAGAAAGGATAAAGATTCACTCTGCCTCCCAAGGCGATACATTAAGAGCTAAGGGGGAGAAAATAATCTCTTTCTCCTTATTCACCTGCTTTTCATTTCTTTTTTTTTTTTTTTTTTTCCTTATTCACCTTCATTTACCTTTACAATTACAAATCAGTGAGTTCTTCAAAAACAGAACTCTGTGCTGGCACAGTAGATGCACTTAGTAAATCAAGAGTAGATCTTCCTTGAATAAATAAAGTCATAGAAGAAGGTGTCAATAGATGAGTGGGAATTTGCCAAAAGGGGATAAAAATATCCCATGCAAAGTAAAAAGTATATTCAAAAGCCTAGAAAATTTGAAAGTGCATGACGTATTCAGCAAAAGTAGAAAAGTGTGACTTATGCTTATTTTATCTGTGTTTATGGGCTGGGAAGTGTAAAGTTGTAATGGAGTTGAATATAGAGAAGTAGACTGAGCAAAGATTGTGAAATGCCTTGTATGCCACGCCAAAGTTTGGAAAAGGTCTATATCTGATGGCTAAATATGGTGTTAAAGAAAATTTTTTCATGATACTTGTTAAAGATGGTAAGAAAGACTTAATTCAAGGAGGATTATTGTTATGGAGTTTTACAGTAGAGGAGAGAGATGAGGCTTAACTCTGAGTCCAACAAGGGGGGAGTAACATTTATAAGTGGGAATTTATAAACAAGCAGCAGAGTGGAGGCATCAGTTAATGGAAAATTACTAAGAGGAAACATTAATTCTAGGGGTATTCTTGCTAAACCAACTTGATGGAAATCTTGCTAAAGGCAGACCAGGGTAATAAGATATCAGGGGTGGGAGATGAGATATCTAATCAGATATCCAGAATGATCAGATACCAAGGGTAGGGAATTTCCACTAAACTGACTCAGCAGGATTCTTGCTAAAACTGAACTAAGCAAGCCAAGGACAGAGCCCAAGGTCAGAGCTTAGTTGAGAAGAAGGCTCACAAGAGCCTAACTCAAATTTGGTCAAGGAGAGAGTCTTTGTCAGAGGCAAGGTACTATTACTTGTTTAGGAGTCTAGCCGAAATGTTAAACAGTGCTTCAGCCCCAAAGAGCTTATAATCTAATGATGCAGGAAGACAAGTTAATAAATAATTTACATAAATGAAATCAAATTGACAGATGTATTTGTGGGGGAGGGTATGAGATTGGAAATAGACTTTGAGTGAAGTTTCTGAGAAAGCTCCTTGGATGATTTCATCTTGACATATAACATAAAAGGTCAGCTAGACACAGTGGCTCACTCCTGTAATCCCAGCACTTTGGGAGGTCAAGGCAGGTGGATTGCTTGAGCTCGAGACCAGCCTGGGCAACGCAGAGAAACCCAGTCTCTACAAAAAAAAAAATACAAAAATTAGCTGGGTGTGGTGACATGTGCCTGTACTCCCAGCTACTCAGCAGGCTGAGGTGGGAGGACGACGTAAGCCCAGGAGACAGAGGTTGCAGTGAACTGCAGTTGCTCCAGTGCACTCCATCCTGGGCAAGACAGCCAGACCCTGACTCAAAAAATAAAAAAAAAAAAAAGAGTCTCCAGAATTGAAGTAATTCCCAGAATTTCAGACCCTTGAACCCTTTGTGTCTGTATGCTATAGATCTTCATCTTTTGTTCACTGTTTCTATTCAAGCTCCTCTGAAGAAAATCACTATGACCTTTTAATGCAAATTGATGTTACCACAGATTTAGTTTCTCATCTCCGAACTACTTCGCAATCCTTTTTCATGGTCAGTCCTTCTCCAGTTCCCCCCAGCTATTTCTCCAAACTTTAACCATTCTCTACTATGACAGATGACCTCATCCT